AACAAATTACATCCAAAACAAAATAACTTAATTTGATCTATACATATTTTCTTGATTATTCACTCCTTGGGAAGTTTATTTGCTTTGGGACTTTGGGCAGATTTACACAAGTGCAGTCCAGAGAACGTCCCGTACTAAAGCGTAAACAAACAGCCTCGCAAGCGCGAGCTTTCGTGTTTCGTTACTCAAGAGTCATTTAAAGAAAATAGATTGGTATTGATAATATAAAACATTCTATAGAGCTTACTTTTACTCATTCCTTTTTGTGGTTACTCCGCACGGAGTATCCACTTTGCTATCGCGCGATGTAAATATGATCGATGGATGGATGGTCGCAACAATAGTAACCAGTATAGCCAGGCGTTCCTAACCGATGTAGGCTGATGTCATGCAAAACAGAGTTACGTAATTTTCCGATTCGTTTACGACAGTAGGACCGAACTTCCGACGGCCGTTCGGATCTTTTTACGATAACACAGCGGAAATGCCTCGTGCGAAGTAGTGTGTTGGTTGTCTGCTGGCTAGTTTGGCGGTGAGTATCTTGTTCTTATATCACGTTTTTGCTCTTTATCTATCACAGCTTTCATTTTATATTATCGGTAGCAATGAAAAGTGTTTTGCTTAAGTGTTTTTCAGCTTTTAACTCGCAATTTACGGCGAATTAACCGGTTAAATCCACACTTGATGGTCAACGAAGCCGAAGGCATGTTCTCGCCAATCATGCACCACAACAATGAAAACGAAAGAAATACTAAACAAACAACAATCACAAACGAAACAAAGACAAACTGTAACCCCCTTTGTGGGAATACTGACAATGTTCGATAAAGTGCTTAAAGACATCATAAAACAAGCAAACTCAGAAGACCCACAAAGTACTCAAGACATGCAACAATTTCTATTCGCACTTCCAAACTTGAAGTGACATATGGAAAGAAACAAAATAAAGTCTCCAATGTTTTGCTACTCTACTGAAGAGATACAGTAATTGACAGTAACTGATTATTTAAAACTTCTCAACTTGAAATTTCCATAGTCATATTTGCGTTAAACATGTATTTTTATATATACAGCCTTTTGCAAAAATTATGAGAATTGTTGAAATATCTAAATATCATAATATCGAGTGCATGATGGGTAATCCCACGCAATGCCCTTAGTCACTTGTCTTTGTAGTTTAGGTTTTTTTTGGAGACAGACTTATCCGTAGTTCTGAACATTTTCTCTATGTCAACAATGAATTATTCTAGCAAACCCGCGTGTTCCGGACAATATATTGATATGGATATTATGATATTTAGATATTTAGACAATTCTCATAATTTTTGCAAAAGGCTGTACATTTTCCATTAACAAATTATATAATATAACTTGGCTTTATCGTTAATATTAAATATTCAATTTCAATAAGAGATATATATCTATCTTACATGACAAACAATATTGGGAGTAACCACATGCGCTCGTTGAGCGCCTTTAATTTTATTTGCTTCATTTAAATACGAAATCGATCCAAATCTTWACAGAAAACACACATTTCAGTTGT